GCTGTCCGGGAAGTCCATTTGCTCCAGGAGTCCCAGGAGCGCCGGCGTTTCCTGGAAGACCTGGCTCACCGGCCCATCCAGGCTCTCCGGATTGACCGGGGGATCCGGGGAAGTAGGAAAATCCGGGTACACCGTCTGGTCCGTTGGGACCGTCGAAACCTGGGGGACCTTGAGGACCTTGATTTCCTTCAGGTCCTGGCGCTCCGATGTCGCCATCGAGGCCAGGTGGCCCGACAATGCCGACGATGCCTGGGTAGCCGGGTTCGCCTGGATTACCTTCCGGTCCGGGCCTTCCAGGTGGACCCGGTGGGCAGACGATGCAACCTGGAATGGAATTATTCCGAATAAAAGGCAAGCCTAATTAAAAAAATCTGAATGAGGATCTCACCTCCAGGAATGTGCTGCGTGACGACTAGGCTGATGCCGGATGCTCCTGGTCTACCCGGTTCTCCTGCCACTCCTTCAAGGCCACGAGCTCCGGGAGGTCCAGGCGGTCCAGGTGGTCCTGGAGGGCAGCCGACAGAAGCAATTGCACACTGACAACTGTCAGGAAAGATGTAACGCTTTGGACGGAACAGGCTTGCCATTACGGGAGCTTTTGATTCGCCTGTAGGGCTTTGCAACACGAGTAGACGATCCCAGGTGTCATCAGCAATCTCTTGGAACTCGGCCATTCCGCTGTGGATTTCATTCTGTAGTGCGGAAATATCGTTGGCGATGTGAGCGATGCAGAAAAGTGCCACCACGACGCCCAGGGCACATACAGAAGCAGCCACGTAGCCGGTGGACGACATTACGCCGGTGTCCCGTCACCCAGGCAACACATGCTTAAGTAGATGCGCCAGCGGAGCGAAAAAACGAGAACTCGGTCATCTGGCGATGAAAAAATCGCTCGCACTGGGTGCACTTTGGCGACTGTCGGTTGACAAAAACAAGATCTCTTTTTGTTCAGACGATCTTTCCGGATTGATGACAATTTGTCGAATCTGAAGGATCGCACAGTCGTGTTTGGGCTAGGATTGATGGCGAAAATTTCGTGCCGAAATTGAGCTCTTGACTTCGGAGAAGCTTTAACGAGCTCCATTTGAGGGCTGTTAATGGCTATTCCCCTTGAAAATATCAACCAGATTTGTTACTCCGTTCTGTAACTGGGAAGGTGATAAAGAATCCCCTCGAGATGCGCCATCATAAGACTTTCAGTGCAAGTTCGAGAAGAATGAACAACTGTCTCGCGAGATGAGGGTCAACGTGCGTGGTGCGCAGGAGAAACGAGCCGCCTTTTTTGACCGGGTTCTTGGTGACTTCTGCGATAGAATCGTAAAGGTCCTACTTGTGGGTGACACCCGTCACGCGTAATGAGTGGAGGTCGTATCTTGACCCTTACCGGTCGTAAGTTTTTCTGAAATTATCCAACTCCACGTTGACCTCTATAAACCCTTGAAATGTCCGCTTACAGTGAGTGGATGTTTGGTCATGCCACCTTCTAAAGGGTCGGTCGTTCATCAGTCGAGAGCAATAGGAGGTTCAATTCACTTCTAAGAAACGAGACCCAATGATGCTTCCAAATGTTGCCTTACACAGCTCTTTCAGTATTCCGTTCCACAATAGCGACTTCACGGTCCCGACAGGACTTCTGTTGTCACATCAAGGATCCATCGAAATTGGTACTGAACTGGAAGACTCGCCAGCTATTTTTGACGGGTAGGTTCAACCATTTCAATTGTTTTTCGGGTTGAGGCAGCGTCTCACATATCAAGCTTGAAATCCGATAGCGCTAAACATTGACAATCCATCAAACGCCAGGTGCTATCGTTTTTTACAATAAGTAGCTGATAGATTTTGAAATACAGCTGAGCTTCTAAGAGATCATTCTACAAATTTCAACTTAGAAGCAGTTATGGGGTGCTTTACTTCTTCCAGTTTTCGAGTGCCGTCCATGAATTCGGAGGTCACAGTGGTTTGCACTGTTGCGACTCCAAACATTTGGTTAGAGCGCTAGTGGGACCTGTTACTCGCGTCAAGGCAGCCCTGTACACCGTTGCCCGCCCACTGTTGTGGTGTCTGCGTCTCACTCGCCGTTGCGCTCTCTCGTCACCGGATCTGTTTTCTGGTTACACGCGTCGCTTTGGGGCTCTCTTTGACAGATTGTTTGTCTCCCAGACCTTCTGCTAGAAGACAACATGAGTTCCTAAGGATGATTTCTGGCGCAATGTATCTCCGGGGGGGGGGGTCGAGACAATTTGTAGGAGGGGCCACTAAGACTAAGGCTAACAGAGAGGGACGAGTTCTGTGGAGAAAGAGGATTGCGTACGCACCTCAGATTCTTCCTTCTCCTCTAGCTTGGTCCAAATCTGAGAGTTCCGTTAATCTGACGAAATGTATGAGTTAGCCTGACCCCCTCCCCCCGAGCCAAGACGCGCATGATTTTTTTAGGATAGGTTTTGAGTTCCTCTACAATTTTTTTTTTTGAGTGTCATCTCTTTGACCCAGCAACTTGCATCATGGTCAATTTAGCGCTTTCGCGTTCTATCGAATAGAAATATCTGAACTGAAGACCTTCTCTTGGTAGTACCTGCAAAAAGAAGGTCTTCCATGGTTTCCAAGGACCTGTTTCGCTTTTCTTCACTGCCAATACTTTGTGCACCTTCGCTTCCATAATCTAGTAAAAAGCTCGCCCTGGTGGGAGCTGATGATCGAATGAGCCCTTGAGATGATTCGTGAGGATCTAATAGTTCCAGGTATTTCGTAAGACCTGGGTTCAGCGAGAACTACTTCTTATTGAATCATATTGGAGGGGACTCTAAGTGGGACCGCGATATCGTCATGCTCCTTCGTCTCATTGCATGAGCCACATGTTGCACATAACTTTTATTACAATTCGCAAGACTCATTCGAATCTTCCTCATATCTTCGCTGGATTATAGACTATAACTCACGCCACCTTTCATTACTTTTCTACAGGAGCACTCAAAGACCGTCACTTAAACACTTTGTCGTGCTACACCGTAATTGCCTTAATTCAAGGCTCATCTCTATTTCTTCGCCTTCTGTGTTTATCTTTTTCTTCTCTTTCGGTCGGGTATCACAGCTGTCACACTCTGAACATGGCTAGCAGTGCTCAAGGTATCACCTAATGGCCCTTATCCTACTGCAGTCGGACTTGCCGCAAGTTCATGGCTGCATCAGCTCCAATCGACTTCCCATAGAATTGCGGTTGGAAGGTGTTCAGCTGAGAAACGACTCCTTGAAGAAATTCAGGGAGACTGCACTATTCTATTATGTCCCCCCTTAAATCGTTAGCTTGAAAGCCTTTCTCCATGATAGGGACAGAAGCAGCGAAGAAACTTTGATTTCCATGTCCAATTCGAAAAATTTAGATTATTTCTGGCCCAAATTTCAGCCGTACATCTGTCATAAATGTTGGGTGAAAGCGCTTTCGCTTGGTTCTCGGAGTGCCGTCACTGGGCACTTTTTGGCATTTTTACCCATGGCAGTGACATTGCACTCCTCCACCCTTCATATTTGATCGATCGCTTTGCGTCTATTATCTAAATTCAAATCTTTAATTCGATTCTTTCAATAGAATGCCGCTCAACGGCTCACTTCCTTCAATGCGTACCTTTGGCTCCGCCCATCATACCATGTGGGAGCCAAGATGCGCTTTTCGATGACTTGTTTTTTTTTCCAAAACTTATTTCCATGAGAGCTTTGTCTATGTCTCTAATCATCTCCAACGCTTGAGGGGAAGAGAGCGATTATCTTTTTGTGAATGATCCTTTGAGCTACCGTAATTTCAAAGGGCTCAAGTGGCTCTTAATGCCGCTGTTTCACAAGGAATCGGTTATTGACTGAAGTGCAAATCTTTTCACAGATGATTATATTGTATTTGTCCATTTTGTTAAGTAAATAATTACGGTACTGGAAAGATGGCAAGTGGCGCGGCTAGTAACGCCCACAGCCCGGGAATCAAATCCTAGATCGTCGTATGCCGCCTAGTCCAACCAAGTTCTGCATCCCTTTCAAGCCAGTGAATTGGTGAAAGAAGCATTTGGAAGTGAACACTTACTTATACATCGGTTTTACACTGCAACTCATCGTTTGATCCTAATCGTCAAAAATCTTTTCAGTTAAGAACAGAAAGGCTTAAAAAAAGAATAGGCTCATCTCGAAAGAAATTTTGCGCCATATGCTTTATAACTCTTTTATCACATGAGTAGAGAGTTCTTTCAGTGAGAAACTCAAGCTGAGCCACATTGAATTCAAACCAATCACGATGGAATTATGGATCTGTGGTGATTCATTGTACCCTTTCACCTAATATTAGAATGGCCAGATTGAAATGTCGTTTTCGATCATCAATTATTTTCATTATAAAAACAATAATGAAGCACATCAACCTGAACCATCTCCTTCACCTGTGTCACAGGCTCATCACCTTTCGTTACGCATGGATGCCTACCGCGTAGAACTCTTTCTGGTTCGACTCGAAGAAGTTGGGCACTCAAATTTTGACGTCGTCGCGGTTATCGAATTGGTTTGCTGCTAAGGAGTGTTGCGCTGACCTGGGTCAGTGATAGTCGGACGGCGCCAGACCTGGGCTATATGGCGCGAGAGGTAGAGCGTCCCAGCCCAACTCCTCGATTTCTTGTTGCAAGATTTTCGCGACATGTGGTCTTGCATTATCGTGCCATAATTTTTCATTGGCCGAATTTACCCTTTGACGACGCGGAGCTCGGCCCACGTGGTGGAGCTGTTATACGCAGAGTTCAGCTGTAACTGTATAACCCACAATCAGCATTCCGTGGTACACCGTTGCTATACTATATCACCATATAAAAACATGACTTTGTTTCCGTGGATGTCTGGTTTCGAAGTCACCCTCAGCTGTCCATCAGCCGCCAACCACGGTCGTCTTCTCGCGTTGTTATTGGGAAACATCTCTTTGTAAAATGCGGTCAACACGAAGTCAAGAACCTTTTTCCTCTTGAAGTTATGGAGCGAAGTTCCAGTATTGGCAACCAGTACTGCTTGCTCGCGTCGCTCAGAATAGGCCGAACCCATTTTCTATCCTGAAAGGCCTTAACAGTCGCACGTAGGAACTTTTAAATTTTTCTGTTGACACAACTGAATCTCCATGCAAGTTTTGTGCGGTTTGTCGAGGACTCAATTCGTTGGCTTTCTTTATTTCTCCGTCATCTAGAGCTAGAGGTCAAAATCCACGACTTCGTCGCCAGGTCCTTTACCTCAGTCTTGGAAGAGCTGAAACCATAGCTGAAAGTGCATCAGAGACTAAGTGTTACTGCTCAATGTTTTGCACACAATGAGTGATTCGTTGGCCGTTTTTCCTTGCTTGAATATATACGCTCAGACGATGTTTTCTGATCAGTCATCTTCGAGCAAAAGTTTTGGCTCGAAGAACATCCGCTCAGTGGCGCCTAAGATTTCGCAATATGCGCTCTTTCGAATGAATGGTCTCCCATCCTAAGAGATTGTGTTTAAGCTGAGAAACAAAGGCACAAGCGGAAGCAACATTTCAATCTTGCCAACCTAATAGAATAGGTCCGGTTTCCAAAATAATACGTGCCAGGCAGTTCGCTCCGTCGTGAGCACTGAACATTGATCCTTACGGAATGATACGTCGATCCTGACCCATGCCTCGTCATGGAAGCTTTCCGACAGGAACAAATGAAACTGTTGGAGCGGTAGAACCATTCGTAGGAATTGAGTCATGTCGGACCGCATGTGATAGGATCAGAAATTTTCGAGCATGTAATTTCAGCTGAAACCTACAAAGGGGATCTGGTTTAATAACCAGATCCCCTTTGTATGGATGTGTCGACCTCTATAATTCAGTATAAAATGAATCTATTGTATCCATCTTGTGCCATAATCAAATCGTTCTTTTCCTATAAGTCATTTATTCTTTCTTACACACTTTTAAACGTATGCCTCGGAGACTTAGAATCACTTACAGTGTTGTTCAAATTTACCGACTTCCCTTTCATAGGGAAGGAGCCTCCTCTCAAACTAGTAAGCTACCTTTTGGTGACACTGTAAATATGGAAGCCTTCTTAACCTAGGCGAAGTATAGTCCGGGATTTTTCGCGGAGCGTGTGTGAAAGCGGCGCCACCTTCCACCACACCACTTCCGCCCTTCAAGAACACATTGCCAGACAGAACTAGAACTGTCAGCCAACGATTTCTTCAGGAGTTTATTCCACGAAGAAATGATTGATGTGTAGCTCGTGGCTCAATTCCCTTGCTGTTGCCTTCACTGCTGTTGACCAGTGCACTTCAGGGTGGTGCTCTCGATCACTGAATCTGACTTCTTGATATCGTCCAGCCAATGAGAGACCTTAAAATATCACTGTATAGAGAACGGTATTGTAAGCTACTGAACGTCCAAGAACCATCCACGACCTTCTCACAGTCGGAATTAAGGAGTTTGAAAGTGAATGCGAATTTGCCTCCAACGTCCGCCGAACCCAGATCGGTGAACTTTCCTAGTTTCTTAGAGCGCTGCTCGATCTGAAACAATTTTTGAAGGCTAGAAAGTCTGTACTTAGTGAACCGGTAAATGAAATGTGAGAAAGTCCCTACTTACATCCATCTGTGGGAAGTAGTTCATGAAATGCTGGATTAGATTCGGATCGTAACGAGCCTGGGTGACCAGTGCGACACTCGATGTCTCGTTCCCTAATCCATGCTTTTTTGGTTCTGGCACCGGATGGCAGGCCTTTAAGAAAGGGAATTTTGTCTCTCTTCCATCTCTTTTCGGCTCTTAGGAATTGTTTAAGCAAACACTTTATCGCTGAAAGAGTAAGGCAAAAACTTACCAGGGTAACTCCAATGACGATAAGGGCGGGAAGCAATCGTTCCATGATGAAATTTCGATGCAATGGCAGACTACCGATCACCATACCTTTTATACCCATACTGCATTACATTATAGCTATTTGAAAGCAATGCTTCATAGCCTTTGACAGCTACATTCACATTCATTTTATTCGATCCTATTTGAAGTACAGGGTGGTCCAAAATCATGTTGACAGTGTGTGCATGCGAATATATCCATTTTTCTGATTTCTTTTCCTTTCCTCTGTTATCTGCATCAATGAAAGAGGAAACCACGTCACAGTACTCCACACTTCAAATTTTATCGAGAAAGGGTTCTGGTACGCTACAGCTAGCGTCAGTTAAAAGTGACAAGAGGTTTGTGCGAGCTACAGTTGAGTGCTTCAATAAGTTTGGATCTACTATGGATGGAGAGATGGAGATTAGAAGCCTTACAGTTCACAACAGGACGGATACCAAATGCAGAAACTCGTCCTCTTCCTCGCGACTCCCGTAGATGGGAATCCACTCAAGTACTATCCTTTGTTTTTTTAGTAGTACAGAGCGCGCAGTCAAAAAGCAAAAATTCTGCAGAGTAAGTGCGTGGAGGACAAGACCTTAAGAAATTGTGTCTCTTTGAAGTTTTTTTTCTAACAGCGCTCATTCTCTCACCTCCTGAATGAGACCTGGTGCGTTCCTAGTTCAAAACCGCATCGCGGGCGCGGCTTGCCGAAATTTGAGTGTTGCTTGCATCTTTCCCGCCTTTTTCCATTTATTAGGCTTGTCTCATAAGTAGTGTCGCTTTTTTTCAACCAAAAATTTTCATCTAAATCCCCATGCTTTTACATCGTGTCATATACCATTCGAAAGAGAATTGTCTGCTCTACAAGATGCTATGTTCTCTTCCACCTCTGTTCCAGGGTTTTCAAATTTTAGGCCTGCGAAATGGGAGGTCCAGCCGACAAAAATTGACCAAACCGACAACTAGCTCTAACTTTATTTTCCCTGGGAGAAATCAATCAATGATGTACCCTCTACTTACTCATGACCTCTTCTAAACATTCCACTCTTAGGTTGCCGAAAAAGCTTTGCCGTGTTTCTTTTCGAATTGGCTGACCGATAAGCCATAGCAATTTTCAAATTGAAATTCTTCCTCTGAAACGCTATTGTTTTATATCAAGTGGTGTTTCTTTTGTGAGCACTTCTTCTGCTCTATTCGCTCATTTGTTTTGTTTTTATGTTTGTTGGGAATTAGTTCGAATTTTAGGTTGCGCGGTAAGGTGTTTTGTCCGCGAAAGTGACCGCATTACTTTTAGGAAATCCAGTCCTGGGCTATATGGCGCTGGTGGTAGAATTTCCCAGCCCAACTCCTCGATTTCTTGTTGCAAGATTTTCGCGACATGTGGTCTTGCATTATCGTGCCATAATTTTTCATTGCCGAATTCACCCTTTGACGACGCGGAGCTCGGCTAACGTGGTGGAGCTGTAAACAGAGTCAACCCTGCGTTGCGCAGTTCGCAACGGCACGTTGAGAGATCCTCAACGCACGCTGTATGGGCGGAGACACAGACGGCTCGAGCATGCGAGTGTGAATGTTCGCGCGAGAGAACGTGTCTAATCGGGCGAAACTGCGCAACGTGGCCGTTGAGAACTGCGCAACGCAGGGTTGACTCTGGCTGTAAAACGCAGTTCATCTCTAACTGTATAACCCATAATCAGCATTCCGTGTAACAAGTTGCTATACTATATCACCATATAAAAACATGACTTTGTTTCCGTGGATGTCTGGTTTCGAAGTCACCCTCAGCTGTCCATCAGCCGCCAACCACGGTCGTCTTCTCGCGTTGTTATTGGGAAACATCTCTTTGTAAAATGCGGTCAACACAAAGTCAAGAACCTTTTTCCTCTTGAAGTTATGGAGCGAAGTTCCAGTATTGGCAACCAGTACTGCTTGCTCGCGTCGCTCAGAATAGGCCGAACCCATTTTCTATCCTGAAAGGCCTTAACAGTCGCACGTAGGAACTTTTAAATTTTTCTGTTGACACAACTGAATCTCCATGCAAGTTTTGTGCGGTTTGTCGAGGACTCAATTCGTTGGCTTTCTTTATTTCTCCGTCATCTAAAGCTAGAGGTCAAAATCCACGATCTTCGTCGCCAGGTCCTTTACCTCAACGTTGAAGAACCATCCACGACCTTCTCACAGTCGGAATTAAGGAGTTTGAAAGTGAATGCGAATTTGCCTCCAACGTCCGCCGAACCCAGATCGGTGAACTTTCCTAGTTTCTTAGAGCGCTGCTCGACCTGAAACAAATTTTGAGGGCTAGAAAGTCTGTACGTAGTGAACCGGTAAATGAAATGTGAGAAAGTCCCTACTTACATCCATCTGTGGGAAGTAGTTCATGAAATGCTGGATTAGATTCGGATCGTAACGAGCCTGGGTGACCAGTGCGACACTCGATGTCTCGTTCCCTAATCCATGCTTTTTTGGTTCTGGCACCGGATGGCAGGCCTTTAAGAAAGGGAATTTTGTCTTTCTTCCATCTCTTTTCGGCTCTTAGGAATTGTTCAAGCAAACACTTTATCGCTGAAAGAGTAAGGCAAAAACTTACCAGGGTAACTCCAATGACGATAAGGGCGGAAAGGAAACGTTCCATGATTCGAGTGGGATTTCAGTGCGATGGTACTGCCGGTCACCACACCTTTTATACCCCACTGCATAATTTTATGACTATTGGAAAGCAATGCTTAATAGCCTTTTGTCAGCTACATTCACATTTGATTCGATCCTATTTGAAGTACAGGGTGGTCCAAAACTATGTTTACAGCATGTGCACGCTGCCATATCCATTTTTTTGATTCTCTTCATTTCTTTATCTTCGTGACCAAGAAGCTCGTGCGGGTAGCAGTTGCCGATTCAATAAGTACGGCATTACCCAGATAGGACAATCAGAGAGTTCACCTCTGCCAAGCATACAAAGCCAGTCATGTGCTGTACTTTGTACTTAATAGGGTAGCTCTTAGTCATAAAGTTGAAATTGCAAAATGGGACTAGTCATAAATACAGCTTCCAATGAGTTCATACCTAGAAATCTCTGTCAGTGAAAATGGAGTTGGCGGGAGAGCCCTCCCTTCTATTCTATTCACAGTACTGCAGAGCACTTCATGATTCATGATTTATTATTGGTTATAAAAGAAAACACAACAAAGCCAGGAACATCAAAATTACCAATAGAACAACATGTAAAGGTAGGAAATTACAAATACAAATCAGCAAAGAGTGTAGCGGGGGAAGTGGCTGCACATGGTGGTGAAGAGCAGTGGGCCGCCAGCACTGCAAGCCGCGAGCAACAGAGCGCCTCCGGATACCAACTTAGTAGGTCCGTCAACACCACCATGGTCCATGCGATAAAGCTAGGGTCTAGACGAGATTAGGTAAGCTAAGTAAAATTAAGCAAGTGCAATAAACAATGCTTATGTCAGCAAACTAAAGAGAAAAGAAAGAAGCAGTCATAAATGAAACGAAATAGGATTATCCCTCAAGGAGTTTTGCTTACAACTGATACAACATTTACTGCAACCGTACTTGAGTTGACTGATCGCTACAGCCCTAATGAGTCACTCTAAAACCAGCCTTGACTTTTTAGGATTTTTCTGACTTTTCTTTGAAAGATTTCGACGACATTGAATTCACTACCTCGGCTGGCAAGGTGTTCCAAAACGATATGACCCTTTGCGAGAAGCTGTTTCTATACGTGCTTGAGTGAGTCTTTTCTCTCAATAGCCTAAAGCAGTGCCCTCGGGTAACGCCTATAGTTCCAGACCTTCTAAAGAGCATATCGGGCTCAATATCAATTTCTCTCATAAAAAGCTTGTACATAATATCGTAGTCCAAAACCT